CTCTAGCTGCAGCTTCTGCTTCAGCAGCTCTGGAGGACCCTTCTCCTCCTTCGCAAGCTTCGAGAACCCGTGCAACCTCTTCGGCTGTACGGGCAGCTTCAGCTTCTTCGTCCAGCAGCCGAAACCAGGGGTCTCTCTTCTTCCACCAAGGCTTCTGCCTCTGATACAGAGCAACAGCCTCAATTTGGAAGTGGGAAGAGTCTAGATGAACTTCCCTATGCCTCGGCTCATTGATAGACGGGGCCCGTTCAGTTACAACTCGTTCTCGGTTGACACCAAGACGAGCGTAGTTAATGCCAACGTTGGTCTCGTCCCGCTCTGAAAAAGGAAAGGGGAAAGGTTAGTTCAGATAGGTTGGCACAGCATAAAAAAGCGAAGCGAGAGAAGAAAAAGAGATAGTTAAAAAGCCTCGGCCCCAGCCGAAGAAGCTTACCATCCTTAAACTTTCGGCTGAGGCCAACAGCTGCTAGCATGTTCTCTTAGAAAACGTAATGCGTATCGGGGAGCCAAGTCTCCGGGATATGCTGCATTCGGCCACTGCCCCCCCGGTTCGGCAGCTTGCCGAAGATATGTTGCTGATCAAGGTTCGGATCCGCCCCGTTATCTGCGGGGGGACCTAGACTTCCCATTTCGGGATCAGGCTCAGCGAGGTACCGGGGAGCGCTGAAGACGTAAGGGTGGCCCGGATCTGTGGGTGCCCTAACCCAAATCCATTGACCTCTCCAGTCCTTGTCTGAAGAGTCGTTTGGCCACATGGTTAGGTATTGGGGCCGGGACTCAATCCGGTACCACCCAGAACCATGGCTTCCGTGCCCACTTTGAATATTTGGCACTAGCCGATGGAGCTTTTTGAAGCAGTGCAGGTTCGGCACGTACTTGAAGAACTTGCAGACCCATAAGTATGTCATCACCCTTCGGATGCTGGTGGGAGTTAACTGACATAGAGAGATGTTGTAATGGATCAGCAAGTCTCGGACGAATACGTCCAAAGGGAACCTCAGCCCGTACTGAAGCTGTCTTGTGTACACCCCCACATACCCCGGGGGTGGACGATGGATTCTATCGGATGCCGAGGGCATTCGGCACCAATACCCATCAGCTTCAAAAATGTCGTAATGCAACTCAATTTGCTCGGCAAATCGATATTGATCGGCATTCTCCACCCACCATGGGTAGGGGCGGTTCTTTATCATGGCCGAAGCAACTTCGGCATTCTCCCATTCTGAAAACCCGGGGAGGATATCCCAAAGGACAGCGGGAACTTCATCATCCCGTCCAGAAGCGCTCGGCTCCTCCGTTCTCTGAGGAGGAGCCGAGGAAAGGGGAGTCGCCCTAATCCCTTCAGCAGGGTCAGACTCTGGCCTTTGTCCATTCCAGGTCCCAATCCTGTTCCTAGGATCGGGAATCGGCCTTGCTCTTCTTGGAGCACGGGCTCTACCTCTAACTCCTCTTGCCATTGATTATTTCAAAGAAAAAAGTCGAAAGAAAAGGGGAAGGAGTTCGAATTCGAAGAAAAATAAACTGAAATCAAAGGAATTTACCTTAATCTGAAGCGAAAGTTGCCGATTTACGAGTTCGTAGTGGCAAGTCTCAGTTTCTAAGCTTAATGCTCGGGGAATTTGCGAAGTTTTGATGCGGGTTCTTGGTTTCTCTCTCGAGAATTCTGGGTTTGTGTTGGTGAATAAGTGAGGAGAGATGACGCGCCTCTGTTTATATCTCCAGGAATGGGATACGAGGAGTCTGCGTTTTAATTTCTCTTAAATACTCCACTAAGTAACCGTTAAACACATGATCTTGTGATTAAACTGCCCATTATCCGTCCAACTTCCACAATCATCCGCCTTAACCGTTGTTATCTCATTAATTACGGTTTAAATTCAAATTTTTGGATTAATTAAATCATTTACTTCCCTCCTTTTCTGAATTAAATCAAACCCGACCCATCATCCTTCCAAATCGGGTCTGGGGGGCAAGTTGTTTGGGTCCAATTTAGTCCAATTGGGCCTAGATATTAAATGATCCAATTAAAAGCCCAAGGTCAAGGTTCAACTCTCCAATTGTGCTAAAGTCAAAGGTCGGCCCACAAAGCAAGCCAATTGGGCTAAGGCCCAACCTCTCCATGTATGATGAGGTATAAAAGCCATCAATATTCATAAGTTCATTGATATGTTCATTCATATGTTCGTTCATATGTTCATTGATATATTCTGATATATTCCATTAAAGCCTCAAGCAACAAACTCTCTTGCATAGTGTCCTCTTCTTACACATTGTACTGACTTTAGCATCGGAGGGGCCTTCCTCGGCAACACCCCCGAGGCTAGTTTACGTGTGTTTACTGTGCAGGAAACCTTCGGCCCAACATAACTTGGACCGAATCCAGTCTTCTCCGTTTCAGCGGACCTTCGGCAAGGTCCCATTGTTTTCACCCGAAACAATTTCTAACCATTATAAAATTACAATAGAAATGCTGCTAATAATTACAATAGAAATGCTGCTAATAATTACAATAGAAATGTTGCTAATAATTGCAATAGAAATGCTGCTAATTTGCATTTTGACGTAATCACTAATAAAATACGTAATATATAAAATATTTTTTATGGATAATAAGTGACATGATCAAAAACCCATATTTTTGATAGAATATACAATAGATATTTTCATTTATTCTCGTCCTCCACTAGACATATGATTTTGATAGAATATACGATAGATATTCTAGATATTCTATAATAGAAGGATATAGTTTGCATATATTGTGTAAATATCTTTTGTAATCTCCTGACGTGATTAAGACTCTCTATTATAACTCTATATATATGAATCAATGGTAAACACTCCAGATTGAGGAGTTTTTACAAAATTTAACATGGTATCAGATCACAGGTTTTGATCCTACCTTGTTTCCGCAATTTATTAATTTTTTTTATTTTCGCCCTAACTCTAGCCTGCTTTCGGGTGAATAACATCAAAAACGTCATCCCACTTATTCTTGACCGTGAGAAAGTACAGTATTCGAATTGGGTTGAATTGTTCGAGTGTCATGCTCACGCATTCAACGTTCTTGATCATATAGATTTTAAAACAAAGAGACTGGCGGATTTATCTGATGCAGTAGTGAAAAATTGGATCTATGGCACTATCTCTACCTTTTTGCTTGAAACCCTTCTTTGCAAAGGGGATACAGCTCAACAAATCTGGAACAAACTCAAGGAAAATTTTCAGGATAACAAATCTACTAGAGCGGTGTATCTTGAAAATCAGTTCAATTCCTTGCATTTTTCTAACTTTTTAGATATTTCTTCTTATTGTCGACAATTGAAGAATTTAAAAGATCAATTAGCCAATGTTGATCAACCGGTGTAGGAACAAAAATTGGTAATTCGATTGGTCTCAAGACTTGTCAATGGCGATTTTGATACAGTGGCCAATGTTGATCAATCGGTGTCGGAACAAATTTAATCATATCATCAAAATATTAGAAATGATGAATATTGTTTTACCATTATTTATCATCTAAAGTTTTTTTTTTTTTTTTTTTTTTAACTTAGGAAAATGGTATTTGAAAAGTTTACTATCTAAAGTTAGTGTTGAGATAGTTTTTCTATTTATAATCAATTACTCATACGCAATGTTTAGAATTTGGTTTGTGAAATGGCTTTCTATGCCACTGGTATTTATGCTCTTGATTGGATGCGATTAATTACATATCAACCTTAATATTTAAACTTATAATTATGGAACAACACATTGGAAATTTGTGAGATGTGTCTCAATATAATAACATATGTCTTTCAAAATATCTAGTGTTTGGGTCCAAAATAGCCTCTTTTGAGCCGGTCATTAAATGGCCCATGGCCAAAGGTTCAAAAGTCCAAATGCCAAGAATCCAATGCAAGCAAGTCAAGCCCAAGCACATGTGCCAGCCCACATGCGCCAAAGGATATATTTGTCATCCAAAACAAGGCACAAATACCCCAAATTCACCTAGCAAAAGTATCCCATTAAAGCCTACAACATTTATTACTCTTGCATAGCTTCTAATACACTCTAGTATTACGCATAATAACTTAAGTATTGGAAGGGTTTTCCTCGGTAAAACCCCTGAGGCCAGTTAACATGCTCTGTTGTGTAGGAAATCTTCAGCTCAACCATCATCTAGTTCGGAATTTGTCTCCAAACCACATACAAAAGGTCAAAGTCTTAACCACATTGTTTTTACTCGAAACATCTACCTTTTCTAATTTTTACTTTCCGATGGTTTGGTATAATGGTTAAAACAAATAATTCATAAAATAAAATTACTCTAGTCTGTATTAAGCATATACACTGACAGGATCTAGTCGTATCACCTAATCAAAAGTAATTCCTAAGTCCTCTAACTAAAGTAGATAGGGAAGTAGGGTCGAATCCATAGGGAAACAATGTTCTTTTACTCCTAATTAACTATTATAATCTAAATTATCAGGTAACCAATTTGTATTTGTATGGATTAAACTAATAATAAAACTAAGCAAATAAATCAAAGGAATAATCAATAATAAAGAGCTCTAGGGTATAGGTTCACCAATAAATAATACTCCAGGGTAAAACATAACAATCAATTATCAATGCATAAATTAACCAAATTATAAAGGGCTGTTGCTACGTATTATAATCACATAATCAATCTACCGGTATTAAATCTCATCTCTCGAATCTCGACCTAACCATTTATAGATTAACATGCCTGTTGAAACTAAGCCTAAACATCAATTCTCATCTCTCGAATCTCGAATCAATATTGCATAACTCATACAATTAAACCTGGCCAAATCTAATTGCATAGCATTAAATCAATCAATAGGAAATCAATCAAGCATTATTAATCAATAATAATAATTTACCCCTTCATATTATTTATGTATCCCCAAGAACCCTAGAAATAAACTACTCATACATAATAAAAACTAAATTAATCAAAGCAATTAAAACAAGCATGATAAAAACAATAATAATAATAAAAAAAGAATGAAAACTAAACTAAGGAAAAAGTTCCGTCAAACTAACAAACTAAAATCAAAGAAATAAAAATAAAACTAATTCCTAAAAGTCTAACCTCCCCCCCTACCTACGGTACTACTACACCCTATTTATAAGAAAAGTCCAAATCCCCAAATTCCACTAAAACAAGGAAACTAATCAATTAGAAGCCCAAATACGAAAAGTCTTGCGCCCAGATCAGGAATCGGCCTGCTCGATTGGGCCCGTTACTTCTCGCCCAGCAGCTCCACGAGATTGGATCTTTTAACTTGCAAGTGGGCTAATTCAAACCCTGAGCCCAATCTCTTCTTTTGGACTTGACCTGATTATTACTTGGTCCGTGATACTAATTTGTAAAAGTTGGACTTCTTCATCAATCGAGCCCTTAATCACCGAATTAAAATCCTTTAACTCGGTTTTGGGCTTTAAATATACGGTCATGAAATATGATCCGACTCTAATGCTTCGTAGTGGTTTAAATAGCTCGGTAATTGTCATAATTCTGCAAATTCCTACAAAATAATACCAACTCTACAAAAAAACACTAAAAAACATATATTAGTAATAAAAATAGCTCCGTAAAGTTCAAATAAGCATAAATATGACCATGGGACGGGGAATAAAAATATATATAAAATAGACTTATAATACACACAACACTATGTCATTATCATTATGTTATGGTAATTATATCTGTCATATCAAATATTCTCCACACTTCATATTGATTCCCTTAATTAGATAAAACATTGGCTTCAAATTATGCCCTGATCACCTCATATAGATTCCAATAACTGGATATCCTGCCTCATCTAGAACACAAGTATGGCTTGGGAAAAAGGCGAAATTTGAAGGGACGATATAGAGCACATATGGAGCACTAACAGGTGGAGTGAACGAAAGAGATATTCGTAGACTTATAGGCTATGTCTCTAGATTCCGAGGGTGGGAACAACTCAAACCATCTGTCAACTGATAGCTCTTGTCCGGCATTTACAGCATCTACTAAGGAGATTGTTGTACTGCCAATAAATTTTTCTGAATTTCTGCCTTTTGTAGTGCTTGAACTAGCCATCAGCTCAACAAGTAGCGGCACAGTTGGTTCAGATTGAAAACTAACCACCTGTTTCTTTGCAGATCCTGAAGAAGAAATGCTCAGCATTTTCTTGTTTGCATTGCGAAGATTGCCTTGGTATTTCTGGCTGATGAAAATGGAGAATTCATCTTCATGCCCTTGAGGTAAACCTCTTACTCCCGCTATCTCCAGTAGAACCTTAAAGAGTTACAAGGGAAAATATAAGCTCCTTGGATATGTTTAACATCATCATTATGTAAAACGGAATAAGCTGATGAGTGATATATTCTCTAATTAATTAAGTTGTTTATAATTAACTTAAAATGTATTGCACGATCAACTTTCAATCGCTTAAATGACCAAAATCAAAATTTCTATGCTTGAGGTGAAAATGGACAGTGCTTTTTTGTATTTTTTGTACTTAATACTTACATGGACAGTCAGAAACTCAGAACTTACCTCAATTAGCATTTTCTTTGGAAGTTGAATCATATTTTGTAAAAATTACATCTATGTAAGCTTCCTGTAGGGGCTGAGGATCGACGGTAAGAGGTGAAGGTGCATTGCCTCTGTACATTGCTCCTGCCTTCCAGTACCTGAGGCCATAGACTTCTTCCCGCTGATTTGTTGTCTCCATAAACCCAACATTGAGTTTCATACCTTCTGTTCTATCAGAGTCTGTATCATCGTGCTCAAGTACGTCACCACAAATTGCAGCTGTGTCTTTGCAGTAAAAAGATGGGTGCAGTTGGTGAGCATGCCATATGAGGTCAATATCATACGTTGGAACACAAAAGCGCCTTAAAAATTTCTCCTTGTTCTTCTTGATCAAATGAAGAAAACCCTTGTATCTGGCTATTGCTTCCCTTAGAAATGTCATTGCTCATAAATGGCCTAAATACCTGTGACAATAACATGATCATGTGTGAATGTTACGCCTTGGAAACTTGAAATTAACGATTATCCTACTAATGCAAGAAATTTCAGTGTCAAGATTGTTATGTAATTCGAGGAACGATTACCTGGTAAAATAAAGTGATCTGCCTATTAACAGCAGATACAAGATCATAGTCTGTGGTCTTTTGGGAATCAACGTAGCTAATGCCACTACTTTCCTTCAAGGGATTGCTTAAATCAAGCTCAAACGGTTCATCAGGAAACATTTTTGTCCAAATTTCTTTGGTTTGGTTAGAGCAAGTCTTTTGGATGGTTGACACAACGTTGAATTTATCAAGAATTCTCCCATATAGTTCCTCACAATCTGTTTTATAACGCGTCTGAAGAAATATGTAAAAATTAGTCCTCCATTTCAGGTGCAGCAACAAGTAGTCTAGTAACGTATAAATGTGGCTTTTACATCAAAGGGATACTAACCGGATTAAGGCAATGAACATGCTGGATCCATTCACAGTCAAGTGGTACAACCAAAGGGCATTCTAGGACTGCAAACTCAGCTTGTTTGGCTAGCAGAGGTAGCCAACAATCTTTGTACCTTAAGATATAGAAGGTCTCAATTTAATACAAAAATTCATGAATCTATATACTAGTAAAGGATGTACATGTATGCTGCAACACACCTATAAATGGCACGGTCCAAGGCAGGACCATCATATAGACCGCGATTTCTGTCAATCTCTTCAAGAAATTTCAGTAGCTGCCTTGCTGAAGTTGCAAGGTCTACACTCAGCTTGATCTTTTGTGATTCGGACCATTCGATCTTCTGCTCCTCCTCCATCATCAAGTAACTGTTGAATTAAACATCATGTGATGTGAGCTTTTGATATTTAAATATCTAATGTACTCCATACAAAAAACAAGGTTATTCATGTTGTGTATATGATCCCGGAAAATTGGGGAAAAAAACATGCTCATGCTTTTGGAGAGTTTTTTGAACACATTTACCATTTTAATACGTATTTTGTCTTCGCAAAAAAATGTTCACAGTAATCTATAGTGTGTGAAACGTCTAGGTCTATAGCACTTAAAATCTAAAATTAGCTCCAATACAGATCATGTTTTCTTAGAGATTTGTCCTCAATTCGGCTGAAAAAAAGGAATAGCTTTATTGTCACAAATTTGAGGTATCACCACTTTATTTAGTAGCCTTACCTAAACATTCCTCACTATTTTCCCAAATAATGGACCTCTTCATGCACCATGTTATATTATCGTAAATACCGTGTTTACAAACTCCTTTGTCCATGATGAACCTAGTCCATGTTACTTCCTCTTTTCTATTTATCACCTTTCCTTTGACCGTCTTTTGTGAATAATATGTAAAGAAAAACATATTCATGTGGGATCTTTTTGAATTCGTCTCAATAAATACAATCATAATATATAATTTTTACTTATGAAAAAGAAAAGTTATTGATCGTTAAAGTTTTGTATTGACAATCGTAATAAAAGAAATAGGTCAAATAAAAAAAATAGAGGAAGTATGATATTATGAGATAACATTATATGTGATATTATTGTGATATAAGGTGTCTAGAATTATCAGGACTTAGGAGATAGGATTCAGTATAGAGATATTATTAACAAATATTTACAAAAGAATTTGGAAACAATTGATTACTGTTTTTTTGGTGTTCTACCCGGTTCACCCTTTGGGTTAGTCCGGATTCGATGATCAGTTTTGGGTGGTTAGGTTCCAGTCCCCTCCCAATTGTTGTTGCGGGGGATCGAACATGTGATCTTCCCTACCAAGTGTAGCCCCAATCACCACTACACCAACAACTAATTGGTGACAATCGATTATTGTGAATATGTGATATTGTATAAATATGTAAATGATTAATAAGAAAATGCGACCAATATTGAGACTTGATACTTGTATATGTTGATGCGTATATAGCTAGCCTACTTTAACCATATGTGCATATGTATGGCAACGTCGACACACACGATTTGGTGTCTCTATAATACTATAAACACGTCACATTATAATGGAGTATAGTTTTAGATACATTTAATCATTTATGCTATATATTCTAGTCTCTATTATTATTTTTAATCTTCAAAAGATAACTGTGCCATTTTTGTCCTTCTTTATCCCTCTATTGTAGTTATATTTACAAATGTTAGTCTAATCCCTACTTATATCAAAATTGCCCTTACTCCCCAATGGTAACATGAGATCTATTCAAAGATGAATCCAATATCAAATTAACAAACCGTGTACACGATACACCCACATAACTATAATACCAATAAATAACTTCTTACAGTACAATGATATTATTTAAAATTGCATGATCATCCAATAATATTTAGAAACCTTCACTAATAATACGAAGTATAACATGGAGTGAAAATAATTGTAAAATGTTAAATAACTCATTTGTGTCAGCCTAACACCACTCGGCCACTTGCAACACACTTGCAACTTTTAGTGCAAGGTATTGGTGAATCACCGAACAATGTACTTTAGAAAATGTTTGCAATTGTTTGTCTCTATCACAATTTAAATTACATTTTTACTACACGTACAAGCTACAACTTGTGACGTCTTCAAAATTAGTATTTTTATTGGTTTGTTTGTCCCAATTACAAATTAAAAAAGTATAAGCGTTCTAATCCTTTTACTAGAACTGTCCTAGTGCTTCAATCTCACTCTCAAATCTTTCTCATTCAACGGACAAATACGGAGTAATAAAAACTTTAACTAATCTTACGTTCCTACGCATCATATACGTGATAGAGTTTATTTAAATTTTTTGTTAAATTAGTCTTCTGATATAATATCAAAGTTGACGTGATGGGTTCATATCTAATATATCTTTGCTTTATATATGGACTTGTATCTTTTTTTTCTTAACACTCAACATAAAATTTGAGAAAACATTTTATATTTAAAATTTTTTGGATCCATTGATGTTATTAAGCCACTATGAACTATTACCTTGAATTTAAGACCACTACAATCATACACAACTTTGACATTATAACGAGGAAAATCCTACTAGAAGAAAGGGACCTCTTTAGTCACTTTAGATGAAGGGATGATCTGGAAATTTTTTTGTGAAATGTAATGGTACCATTGTTCATCGATGTATCTGATTCATTAAGAAACTAAACATGGTAAGCGAATCAACCACACATTATGACATAAGCTTAATTGGATTAATTGCTATTTGTTAATCACTTAGTAGTCAAATCAACCACATATCCATGACATGATGACATGTTAGTTGGTCAAAAGCTAAACCAATAATAATTTGATTCCTTATCCCCAATAAAATCTAAAGATGGTCCGTTATTATTACGAACGTTTTAAATTATTTGCAATGATTTTTTTACACATGTTAAATCGTTGTAAATAATTTAAAATTGAAATAGTAGCTACATTTTTCTTTTACGTTATTTTATTGATTTATAGAATTATTTTTCTTAATAATATTATATCTCTACTTTCTTTTTATATTGAATGCAAATTCATCTAATTATTTCTTCTCTCATTTTAGTAAAATTTATGTCATACTTCCTCTATTTTTTAAGTGTCATACATTGATTTTTTTTTTTTCACTATTTACTTATTATTAGTTTAGACATAGTTTTTACTTTTACATAATAAATAATGTTATTGTATAATATATTGTTAGATTAGTCTTTTTTTAGACAGTGTTGGATTAATCTTAATGTATAATACATGACGAAATACAAGTATGTAAATGGTCAATCATACTAGTATGTTTTTTTAGCTTAAAGTTTCCGAATGAAGAGTGATCAGTGATGAGATGCTGATTGAGGACACAGGTAGAGTATTTATTAAAGCTATAGCAACCTACAAAACATATTCTTCCTCTTGGGGTTATGCTGTCAACGATTCCCACATCTTTATTTTATCTTAGTTGTTAACTTTTTTTTTCTTTTTTTAATAGAGTTAACTTTATTTAATTAATCAACAAATTTACGTAGTAATTATCTTCACAAAAATAAAAAAAAAATAAAAAAAAAATTTGAAGCAAATTTAGAGCATTTATATGATTATAGCTACCAAAATCCAACCTAACATATAGACCTACAAAAACAACATGCTTTCCCTCAACCTATAAAACCCCAAACCCAATTTTCATGTTTAATGTTTATATTCTATGCTTTTTCGGCACAAAAATCTCATTAAAAGTTCCATACTTTATTTTCCCACCAATTGCAATTTGGCAATTAAACAAGAAAACAAAATCCCAATTTTTCAGGACTCTATTTATTTTTTGCAGGACTTTTTAAAGTTGTTAGCTTTTTGATTTTTTTAAATCTTTTTAAATTATTATAGAAATTGGGTATCAATCAAATTTCTAAATGTGGATTTTTTTTGGAGATTAGTGGGAAAAGAGGAAAATCTTCATCTTTACTCTTTGAATTGATGCTGTTTGTGAAGAAAAAAGAAGAGAATTTTGTTTATGCCCTGCCAAATTGAACAATTGAATTTCTAGAGTAAGAAATTAAAGAGAGGAAGAGATGGTGGTGAGAAAAGTAGGAAAGTATGAGATAGGAAGAACAATTGGAGAAGGAACTTTTGCTAAGGTGAAATTTGCTCAGAACACAGAAACTGGTGAAAGTGTTGCCATGAAAGTTCTTGATCGAAGTGCCATCCTTAAGCATAAGATGGTTGAGCAGGTGATTTTCTCTCTCGTCTTTATTTGACTGAGTATAAAAAAAATAGAATTGGGAGATCCATTATGATAAATTTGTGGGGGTTATAATTAAGTTGGGAATTGGTTGATTTTTGACTTGTTATGTGTTTTTCTTGTGATTTTAGTTGAATAGGCCATGATCGAGCTTATAATATACATGTATTGATGTTGCATAGTAGATGATTTGTGTATGTTGGATGGAGACTTGCATTGATATCTGATAGGCCGTCGTCGAGCCTAGTCAAAGATAAATTACCACCTACTAACTAATGTTAGAAGGTTAGTCCAAGACTATGTTGTAATTGGCTCTTGAAAGTACAATCAAATCCTAGAAATCACAATTTAAAGGAATATTACAGTATAAAGGATTAAAGGATTGTTTTTCTGGAGGAAATTGCATTTCAATTTTGTGAATTTCCTTGTGAATTCAAAATTTCAAGATTTTCTTATATTTCCTAATTACTTGAGTTGGTGGTTGTTGTCCCTCAAGTAGGTTAACAATGAGAAGCAATTTTGATTAGTTGACAGAATTTGTAATTTGGCTAATCTAAGTCTCTACTCACCTGCCATGAGCAGTGATCAAGGTGTAAGGATCCAGCCTTGAATATATAACCATAGGGTCAGTCGCCCTTAGTTAGCTTCATGACTCTTGTAACCTTTTAGTCATTCTATGTTAGACCAATCTCAACATTGCTACCTTTTCTTAGCTAGCCTTGCACCATGATTTGAAGGGGCAAACCTAGTTTATGTCTGTCCTTTATCAGGCTCAATCTTAGTAAAGCAGTATCACCTCACAGGCTCACGCCCATAATTTGCTGCCCTGTTAGGTGTAGTGCATATTTTGTGGATATGATTTTTCAGAAGTATACACTGGATGATATTGAACACCTTTTGATTATTCTTAAGAGTTCCACTCTGCAACTATGCCCAATTGTTACTTGTTCGCCATAGAAGATGAAGTTTGCTTACGCTCTCCATTTGTTGTCCTATTTATGTTCGAGCTTTGTGGCACTATTATACTGTAACATAATATAATTTATTGGGATGTGTAATTGAAGATTATATTTGCATGAATTGGCTTCAATCAGACGCTTAATTTCTATTGCTTAATATGTCTGCTGCTGGTTCTTTGCTCAAATGTAATTATATGGCTTGGTCCAAATTTGTTTGCTTAGGATTTTGTATGAAATTGAATTTGTTTGCATCAAAGTACTTGTATATGATTTGGAAGTTACACCATTTTGCTAATTGTACTTCCCTGCACCTCACCTCTCTTTTTAGTTTTCGCTATACTTTTTTGTACCATTACACACTGAGCATATTTGCCTTCCTGCAGATAAAAAGGGAGATATCCATAATGAAACTTGTTAGGCATCCACATGTTGTTCGTTTACACGAGGTAAGGATGCTTTGGTCAGAGTATTTTTTCGTAAGTGAAGCATAGTTTGTTTTCCATGACTGGTGTGCTATAATTTATATAGGCTGTGTGTTGTGAATACATTTTGCAGTAATAATTTGAAGAATATATTACTAGTGTTAATGGAAGAATTTGCCTACAGAATTAGAAGAATTAGCCTAAATAATTGGGCCCATGAAAAAATTATTGTAGATAGGATATGCTTTGTGTTTTGTGAGGATGCATAAATGTCCTTGAAATAAGCTGGTGCTGTCAACTGTGCAGGTACTGGCAAGTCGTACCAAGATCTATATCATATTAGAATACATTACGGGTGGCGAATTGTTTGATAAAATTGTAAGTTTTTTGTGCTGAGTTTTTGTTTTTGAGATATGACCTTGTTTTGTGCTGAGTTTTTATTTTTGAGGTATGACCTTGTCATGATTATGTACCCCCTGATCCATGGCTCATAAGAGTATGGACAGGCTTGAAAGAACTACATTAATCCCTCCTAATTTTGCAGGCTCACCGTGGACGACTCAGCGAGGTGGAAGCTCGCACATATTTCCAGCAATTGATTGATGGTGTAGAGTTTTGCCATAGCAAAGGGGTTTACCATAGGGATTTGAAGGTGAATTACTATTGTTCTCAAAATGACCATTTTGCTGATATTGCCGTATGAGCATCCTAAAATCCGTTTCTATGTTTTTCCAGCCTGAAAATCTTCTCCTAGATTCCCAGGGAAATTTAAAAATTTCTGATTTTGGACTTAGTGCACAACCTCCAGAGGTATATATTTCATAATATTTTTGTCCAGTTGAAGAAATGTTATTTAGATGATTTTCACTAGGCTCTATTTTTTTTAGGGAGTTAGTCTCCTGAAGACTACTTGTGGGACTCCTAACTATGTGGCGCCAGAGGTAATGGCACTTCAGCAAACTACTTTAGATATATGTTTTTTTTTTTTTTTTTTGTCTTTTGACTCCTAAATCATAATTTCTCTCCAAATCTCCTACTAGGTTCTCAATCACAAGGGCTACGATGGTGCTCTGGCAGATATTTGGTCTTGTGGGATTATCCTTTATGTCTTGATGGCAGGTTATCTCCCATTTGACGAACTTGAACTCACGACACTATACAGTAAGGCATGAACATTTTGATTGGAGTTAATATGACTTCCTTGTTAACATTGATCCTTTGTTAAAGCTATCAGGCTTTTGGGTAACATTGACCTTCTGTATACTTGATCCTTTTCTTCTAATCCTGCTGGATGTTTTTGTTTCTTTTATAAAAATGTTTTTCACTGATGAATTCTCCCATGTAATACGGGCAAGTATCAAAGCATCAAATTTATTTTGGAATTGTTCCCTTAATCTTAATTTATCTTCACACTTGACTTCTGATCTGCAGATTGCAAATGCCGATTTTTCATTTCCTTCTTGGTTCTCCATGGGAGCAAAATCTTTAATCAAGCGAATATTGGACCCAAATCCTCAAAGCGTAAGATTTTTCTGTCAAACTTAAGTTGTGTGTACTCAAGTTTATACAAGCATATGAAAACCTGATTACTTTAATGAAGCTTTTAGTACCTTTTCACAATTTGTTTTATGTTTTTCCTTGTCAGACTATTTCAGTTACTTTATGTATTTAATTCTGAGTTGTATGTTCTTTTCTTCTTCTTCTTCTTCTTCTTCTTCTTCTTCTTCTTCTTCTTCTTCTTCTTCTTCTTCTTCTTCTTCTTCTCTGTAGCGCATTAGGATGGAAGATATTAAAGATGATGAATGGTTCAAAAAAGATTATACTCCTGTTAGTTATATTGAATATGAAGATGTCAACTTGGATGACATAAATGCTGTTTTTGATGAGACTGAGGTCAGTGAGAACTTGAAATTTGGTTCCCTAGTTTAGTTCATCTGAGATAGGAGAGGCTAATTCAAATCACATTCCCTGAATTTAAATATAATTTTATCTTAGATTATCTTTGCTGCATACGGGGTATGATATCACTTTTATTGCAGAATCAGCAAGAGTATCAGCAGCATGGAGATGATGATGCTGGGCCATTGATTCTCAATGCATTTGACCTTATCATTCTATCACAGGGATTAAATCTCCAATCCTTGTTTGATAAAGGCAAGGTATGAAGCTGTATCTCCTGGCTCCTTTATACTTTTGCGACCTTGAACCTATCATGCCTCTGTGTGTGGTATTTCACTAGATTTTCCTATTAATGTTAAAAAGTTTAATGTTATATATCTAGACTGCGAGAATTCTCTTAATCTCTTTTTTACTGCTTAAATTTAAATATCCCTTCACTCTTTAACAGGATTCAGTGAAACATCAAACACGCTTTGTTTCCCAAAAGCCAGAAAAAGTTGTCTTATCAAGTATGGAAGTAGTTGCCCAATCAATGGGTTTCAAGACGCATATACGGAACTATAAGGTAGGAAGTCCTAGGAGCTTTTAACAATCTTTCTCAACCTTGATCTTAGATCTGTTATTTGGTGGTGACATTTTTTTATGCTTGCTGTTTATGTTTGCTAGCAATAATATTTGTTTCTTTCTCTTTTTCTGCCAGATGAGGATTGAAGGTCTATCAGCTAATAAGACTGGAAATATCACTGTGATTTTAGAAGTAAGTCTTCCTCTTCATTGTGGTTGGTTACTCTGATGTTCTGAATTCTTTTCATTGGTGGGAAGTTGGAACTGATTTAGATTCATTTTTCCAGGTATTTGAAGTTGCGCCTACATTTTTGTTGGTTGATATTCAAAGAGTTGCTGGTGATCCTAACGAGTACCTCAATGTTAGTTTTTTTTACTTGCTTTTCTTATGATTCAATTAGCAGTTAACTTGTCGAGTGATTGGTTAGAGAGTTTGTATCTTTGGTTGCCCAATTATTATCATCAATTGCTCTACATTTTCTGGACTGCTGTTTATGCCATGTCATTTATAACTCAGAGGAATACTTTTAGCTCAGCAGTGCTACTTCTCAAAATCATGCAACTGATTGATGCTTTTTCATGTTGTAGTTTTACAAAAACTTCTGCGAAAATCTGGATGATATAATTTGGAAGCCTCCTAATGATTCGGGGATATCAAGAATTGGCAAGAACAAGATTGGTAGAAAGCGTCCATAGCTTTTATCTTACTTCAGATTAATTAGGAGGCTTTTGGATTGTGATGAGCTTACTTCACAATCCCACACCAGCATCAGTTGGATCCACGAAAGAAAACTAAGAGACAGCAGTGTAGCTAACTCGGGATTGAAGAGCAGAACTCATCTCCAAATGATGTTTGTATATCTTTTCTTAGGAAGTGAAGGCTATAGAACTTTCTGTACTATATTACATAGATGTGAGGAAATTAAGTATGACCTTAATTAATACGCTGTTTTTGTAAATCTCTTGGGTTTTCTTTGATTTTTGAAAGGCAGACGAATTTTGCTTGATATGAAGACATGCTGAATCTTGGACTTGTTTGCTTCTATGCTTGTTACACATATAATAGTGAGCTAATTGTCTTAGATAAGTTAATGTTACAGTGTTTTCTATTGAGTAATTATTAGTTTAATGTAGGGAAAGTCCCTGATGATTGAACGTGTAGTGCAGTAATTTCAGTCTTTCAGATTCTTCTGTTAAGAAAATAATGATTCTTTGCTTCTTTATTTGATACCAAAAAGAGTGATCAACTAATAAAAAAAATCTGCTAATATTGGCGACATTTAATTTGTTGCTGTTTTGATACATGCCTGATACAAATTCATGCTGAATAATATCAAACTGCCGTATACTTGGATTCTCTCTTTTCATATAGTTGTTATTTTGCCGTGATACTTCACTATATCTTGTTCAATTTTCCACTAGAGAGGCTGACCAATTATCTGAGCAACATTCTCGATCTTTCGTTGACTGCAATGTCTAGTCTTTGTATTTCATCGTCTCTTTCTCAAAACCAATTGTCGGAAATTGTTTAGCAAAGTCCTCAACATCTTGGCGCAGCTTCATGATCTCAGACTGGAAGTTGTCATTTGATTGCATGGTAGCTACAAAATCCTTCAGCTTTGTCCCTTTGAAAAGAGGTTTCAGATGGACAGCATTAGATCATTCATTATTCACTTTCAATGTGGATGACTAAAGAAGAGCATGGAATAATTACAGCACAAATTGACATATGAACCTTTTGTGTCAGCCTTTATCTTTAACGCCAATTTAACAGCAGCATCAAAGAAGTCAGCCACTTTGGCAAAATCCTCTTCCACAAATCCCCTGGATGTTAGCGCAGGGGTTCCTATGACAACAAAATAGACCATTTATATGATGACAGTGGGGATGTAAAATTCACAGGGGTATGATATATTGATAGGTGATGATGGCCTACCCATACGGATGCCTCCAGGAATCATGGCTGACACATCACCAGGAACTGTATTTTTATTAGCAGCAATATGAACTGCTTCCATGACCTTTTCAACTCGTGATCCATCGATACCCTTTCCATGGGAAAATAAAGAAAAGAGGACAAAGGTTACATTCTAATAATTTGAAGACAGCCCACTTGGTTTTACCACACTTTTCCAATCCATAAATCCCACCATGGGTTGGCAGAGGAATGCAAAATCAATTATTAGATACTTTCCAAGAAACACCATTAATGATAGCATGTTATTTGCAACAATACATTAGGGGCATGCAAATTTTCCTACTTAATACTAAAAATGGCCTCCAAGCAGTTCCATAACTCAAACAAGAGATAGTGACATTATTCTCTAATTTGGAACTTGAGGGACAAATCCCTAATAGCAGTTTAAATCTGAAGGAGATCAGCCATGTCAATATCAATATAAATTAATAATTGAGAAAATACAAAACCATGAGCCATTATCTAGGACCAAATAACCTGCAGACTCAAACATTCATGAAAATACAAAAATTAGATCGTTCACCTTGTCTCTCAGATTCACCAAGACTAGATGGTTATCGGTCCCGCCAGAAACCAGATGATACCCATTGTCTGCCAGCTTCTGCAAAATCAATAGTGTTGGACCAAGCCTTGTCAGGGAATTGCCTACCACAATAGCAATGAACTGATAATGAAGAAAAATACTCAGGGATTTTGAACAATTTGTTTTGATTGATGTACCTGGGCAAATGCAGCACAGTTACTTAGCACCTGCTCTTGATAGGCTTTGTACTCTGGAGTCCTAGCCTAAACATTACAAAGCATATATATGGAGTATAAAATAGTTAGATTAACATACATTACAAGCTGGAAATTGTATCTTTGATCTGAAAATTCATATACAAAATTCAAGATAGACCTGTTTCAATGCAACAGCTAAGCCAGCAATAGTGTGATTGTGTGGTCCACCCTGAAGTCCTGGGAAGACAGCCTGATTGATTTTGTCTTCAAAATCATACATTACCTGCAACAACAACTCAACTACTTAGAATTCATTTACTTGATGTAAATGATCTACTCACCCGTTTTCTCATTACTGAACTGGTCAATAATTATTAATTAGTCCCCAGCCCGAAATAACAATTTGGATTCTGAATGAACAAAGGTTACAAATAAGCCTCAATGGATGGATGATCTCAGCATTTAACCATTACAGAGAAAATGTTACTGTAATTAGAGTTTAAATATTTGTCCAACCAAATAATTGGGACAGAAATGAATGGATTGATGCAGATTATTCTTGTCAAAGAAACAAAAACTCACTTCCTGCCCTTTCTTGTTCATCTCTTTCAGACCCTTCCTAAAAAATATCATTGCTCCTCGTGGCCCTCGGAGAGATTTATGTGTTGTAGTTGTCACTATGTCTGCATACTCAAAAGGAGATGGAATGACACCTGCAGCAACCAACCCACTGATATGTGCCATATCTGCTAGCATGATAGCTTTTTGCTTGTCACAAACCTATTGGACCAATCAAAAAAAAAATCATCATACCTTTCATTTCAAGACAGAGAGATGAATGAGGAAATAATGAGACTACAGAAACAAAAGTATAAGCTAAGGGAGTGCACCTTTCTGATCCGTGCATAATCATATAGGCGTGCATAAGCACTTGCACCAGCAACTATTAATTTTGGCCTAAACAAAGTGGCACTCTTCTCCATCTGCAAAGATTTATATTGACAAGAATTAGTACACTCTTTAATGACACAAAATATATTTTTCAATAAAGAAGTTAGTCACAAACTTATCCGTACTAAACTTTAAGATCTATGAAGAGTATTAGATTATTAGATAACACTATAGAGAAATACGAAGCATGGTTTATGCACATGGTAATTCATTCTTCAATAGAAACAAATGACATTATATATAAATTCACTGACAGATAAACTTTTATAAAACATCCAATAAGTACATGTACATCCATATTTTCCTGGCTAACACATGACATCTAACAAGACCAGAGGAATGCAATCCATTTTTCATTAATCCAAAAGAAGGAAGAGCATGGAACACCACAGCAAATTGGCCAAAAACCAAATTTTTTTTCCTTTAAAAACATGGAGCATACAAGTCTCAAAACGAGAGTACCTGATCATAGTCTATGTAACCTGTGCTCTCATCCAATCTATATGGCATGGTCTCAAAGAATATGGACACAGCTGATATCTTCTTGGTGTCAGTCTGCAAGTAAAAAGAAAAATGATTGAGCCTGCATTTCAGCATGAGCATAAGAAAACTCGTAAGCCAGTCCTACAACAATTCCTCATTTCAGAGAGTAAAGCCAAATTAATGAAGGATAACTTTAAAAATTCTCCATGGTAGATAGTTAGCCAACTTAACTCAAAACCAATCAACTAAGTTTACAGCTGCTTTGGAAAGCTCAATCACCGATCCGGAGAGGGACGAAAGTAGTTTCAAATATATGAACATATATAGAAAGGCCTATGCCATTTTTATTAAGGTTGATAGTCTCTAATGGGCAATTTTATTAACGTGTGTTCTAGAAACTTATATTTCACTTACTAAGGAAGCTGGGAAAAGTGGAGGAATATAACTTAGTTTAAGTAATGCAAGTAATGAGTTCTTCCAGCAAACTGGAGGCCACAACATACAAAATGAAAGCAATGCCTAGGTCTTCTTTGAGTTGAGAGTAATTTCTCTATTATAAATAAAATGCATATAAACCAGCATGAATGATAGTTGATGATTTTTTAATTGATAAATCCTAACAAAACCCCAAAATTTTGCACACATGCACGCACACACACACCCAAAATCTAAACAAATGTTTCATTGAACAAAGTTAGAGCACCTGATAACCGTGCGAAAGATGTCCACCATGAGGTAAATCAAGTGCCATGATTCTTTCATGGGGTTTCAGAAGTGCAGTATAAGCTTGGAAGTTGGCTGGTGATCCAGATAGAGACTGCACATTGACTGCAATAATAATGAGAAAAAATAGATTGTTCTTCATGATGCTAGATGCAAGAACTAAGGAGTACTATTGATTGTTAATTATGAAAGCCCTCATAATATGGAATACAAAACAGAGACTGTTTTGATGAATCCTTTCCATGACTTTTATCAAAAATATCATCCATAAAATTGGAAGTACACTGTTCAATTAAAAATCCTAATTGTACAATTTTCGTGCAAAAATGTTGTGGTTGTGGAAGGTATAGCTTGCAACTATTATACAACTTCTGGACATGTGCTCGCAATTTTGGCTCACCTCCCCATTTTGCAGGATCCAGTTGAAAAGCTTCCAATGCCCGCTTCTGACACAATGACTCAGCCATATCAATGTACCTGATATCCATTTTACTTAAGATGAGACAAGGAACTACAATATATCACACCTACATTTGAAAAAAAAAAAAAAAAAAAAAGGATGGAGCTTTATCATACTCATTTCCTCCATAGTATCTAGCCCCTGGATATCCTTCACTGTATTTGTTAGTCATGACAGAACCAACAGCTTGCATTACTGAAACAGATGTGAAATTCTCCGACGGTATAAGCTCAAGCCCCTATAGGCACCCATAAATTTTCAATGTGAGACCAAATAATTCCTCAGTCAACCTGATTAATAGGTAATACGAATAAATGAATGAATAGTGATACTGAGATTCGTGTGATTTTGAAAAGAAGTCAAAGTCCATGGTAAAACAATCCTCTCCCAAAGTCCCAAGTACGTATTTTTCTATGTACTCCGTACAAAGGAAACTAATTGAGAGTGGAGCTGCATTAACAATACCAAACAGGCCGTAAATGTACAAATATATGGTATATTCGATCAACATCAAATGAAGTTTTGACTTCCATTTATCAGATTAAGGCGGCTTACAAGTTGCATCTTCCATGGTGATACATAAACACGAATTTACGCCAAGATACCAACAATGGTGTAAACATTAAAATGAAATGGCAACACATTTCGCATTTACGCATTGAAATCAAATAAACATCATTAACAAAACAGAACTGAGCAAAATCTTCTTAAACATAATGCGGAGTACCATATTAAATAAAATAATTATTCAGTAATTAATTTACCTTCCATTGCCGAGCTTTTTCCAGCTCAATAATGTCTGCAATCTCAGGATCAATAACCTCAAGCGGTTCATTCAGCTGCTTTATCCACTAAATCCAAAAATTAAAAAATAAATAAATAAATAAATAAATAAAATAAAATAAAATTAGTACGATCACCATTGATACAAATCACCAAACCCTAAATCAATAGATTGCAACATTAAAACAACAAATAATAAATATTTCTAATTCCAACAAATAACTAAATAACTTACATTAACACGAGATCGATTGCTATCAAGAGAAGCTTGATTTGACAAAGAAGACTGCCAAAAATAATGCAGGAAATATGAAAATGTACATACATTCAATTAAAAATGATAATGCGTAAGTTTATAATATGAAAAAAAGAATATCAACCATGTAGAAATTAGAACCGCCATTGAAGATAGGACGAAAGGAAGATGATGAAGAAGAAGAGGAGAGTCTGCGAAGCGCCATTGACATCGCCATTGCCGCGCTTTCTCTCTCTAGAAGTAGCTGATTTTCTCTCTCTTCTGAATTTTTTTGTGGCGGTTGATTGGGAATGGAGTGGAGAATGGAGATGCAGTGGTTGTTGATGTCAGCAATCGGGCACTTTGCTACTTTCAGACTTCAGTGGGTTGGTAGATTGGTGCGGTTGTTGTTGGTGGGACCTCCACCTACTATGTTGGATTTGATAACTTAATTGGTGTTTTCATTTTCCATTTTTAGATGGTCGTATATACGTCCTTTTCAAGGGTTGTTTGGTTATTTCAGGTTTAATAATTTAGATAGATTCATTTAAGTTTAACAAATTCAAATAGGTTTAGTTAAGTTTAAATAAGTTCAGTTTAGGAAAAATAAGTTTTAATAAAGGTTGTTTAAGTTATAATAATAACTAAAATAAATTTTAATAAAGTCTAATAAGTTCTAAAAAGTTAAGGTAAGTTCATATAAGATCTAAAAAGTTCAGATAAGTAAAAATCAAACTAACAGAACATACCCTTAATTTTTACTCGTCCGAACTTAAATTTTTTGATGGCTATATAATTTTTACTCAATTAGGGACCTAATTGGGTCAACTTGAGCCTTATAGATATCATTAAACATTTTTTACTAGAACCAATGTTACTAATTCAAAGATGATATGAATATATTTGAGGATCACCAATCCAAAACTCAATCGATGCATTTGATAGGAGTCATAGAACTACCTAGGCTTGTACGTGTTTTCTTTTGGGTTCAATGGTAAGGGAGGTTGGACACAGACAACGAATGGCGCTGACTTATGACAAATATGGCCTCAAAGGAACTAACTAGCCTAGATCTGCTGTTTTAGATGAGAGAAATCTGAAAATTCTCTATTGTGTTTTAAAATAAGGCTGTATTAACATATTAAAGGCAAACACTCGAGTCATACATATGCCTATCTGATACCATGATTGCATAAGACATTAATTGTCAAACCTTCTTAATAAAAGTCAACATGTGTTTGTCAAAAATCCTTGAATTTCCCTATGACTTCTACATAACCACACATATGACATATGTTATTATACACCTATCTTGCACTCTTGCACAAGAAATTACAAAGTATGTATTGGGATTTTAATTCTCCCTAATATAACATACTCTGTATAAAATCTTTCCTTATATGGAACAATATTAGCAAGCTTGATTTATGGGGCAACAAGACCAACAACTATGTTTGAAAAGGTGATTAGCTAGTGCAAATATGATGGTGGAGGCATATGCACACGTTGAACATCAAGCCTAACTTCAATCAAAAACACAAAGACTAGTTAATTCCAATAAACATAAGAGTTATAACTAATTTAAGATGATGTTATGTTCATTGGTGTTTATGTTCATTAGAGTATATATATGTTCATCATTGTCTTCATTTTTTTAAGATAAATTCGTTTGATGTTCAACGTATGCACAATGAGCACCATGTATACATCTCCATTAGATATATATATATATGAACAATAAAAAGGATGTATATAAAATTCTGGTGGTTGTCGGTGGTGGTTATAGGTTTTGGTGGTGATATGCTTTTGTTTAAATGTTTGTTTGTTTTTTTTTTTTTAAAGTTGGATTAATACTTAACCAAGTGCCCTTATTTTTTAATAATCATGCCTTAAAAGTTTTTCCTAGGCATGCGTGAAAAGTACGTTTGTTGCAAATAACAAAAAACGGAGGTAGTATACAAAATTAATCATAACTTTTAATAAATATCTTATAATTCGGTACTATTTCCATCATAAAATTCGTTTTAAAAAGTTCTTTAAAATAAGATCCATTTATAGTATATTTAATTTATTTACAAAAATAATAGAGAACTAGATGGAAGCCCGTGCGTTGCACGGTTTTTTATACATAAATCTCATGAAAAGATTATTTTCTTAATTTAACCCTATAATTTTTTTTTTATTATTTTGCTTGTTAGAAAATGGATAATTTGTTTTATTTTTATGCAATTTATAATGCGACCTTAATTTACTAATATTAGTTATATGAAAATTATAAGTATAATAGATATTAGAATAAAATCATAATCCTGTTCGTATTTTTTTAACCTATGATTCGTTTGTATAACGAAAACACGTTGTTCCACTATACATATATAGGTATAGAATCCCTATTTTTCTTTCACAAACAATAACTTAGACCACCATTATTCTTTTACTCCGTATCAACTTTATACAATGAAAAATTAATAAAAATAAACCCAAAACTACAGGGTTAAAATAAAGACGGTGGGAGTAATAGTAAAAGATATGACTTTATAAATTTTAAAATAGTTAAATGAAATATATATATACTACCAAGAGTGTTGCATTACTGAAATTAATCTAATTAAATAAAATTAAATCTTTATAATGAAATTTCATTATCATATGTCCTTAATAATAGAGTTTTATGTATACACTACTACAATGATTTTTACAATAATAATATAGATATCTACCAAAAACTATAATACACAAAATTTAATACGATAAGTAACATAATTAGATTAGGTAAAATAAAACAAAACATACATCTTATAAAATAATGAATAACAACCAATTTATTTTTCTTACCATCAGAAAGTCTTGATATACTTGCATTATTTCCAATATTTTTTTGTTAATCAGCGAATTAGACCTGAAAAAAATTCACACCATGAAAAAGTGTAGATAAATAATATTCACATGTTTGTGTTTTTTTGTATATATATATATATATATATATATATATATATATATATATATATATATATATATATATATATATATATATTGTCTATTTACAATTGAAAAAAAAAATCATAATTATATTTTTGAGAGGATGAATACAAATCATTAATATCATCCTATAACATAAAAAATTGAACATTATTGTTTTTTTTTTTTTTGAAGAATATTGATAAAGATTGAACGTTATTGTCATATTTATTTATTTATTTGAAGAATATTGATTTTTTTTAAAAAAAATTGAAGAATATTAGTTAATTATTAATAATTTATATTTCTATTAAAATGTTTTTTTAAAAAAAAAAATCGATTGAACGTCTTTTAAAAAACAAAATGAACATTTCCTTTTTCAAATATTTAATTTTAAAGTGTTTGTATAATTTATAGTTTTTTTTAATATAAATCCTAATATCAAAAGATCATCTTTTAAAAAAAGATAATTTTTAGTTTTAAAACAATTTAAATCTTAATAAATCATTATTCGTCGTTTTTATCTACGTGGCAAAAAATTTAAATTTCATTCGTCACTTTTGCTTATGTGGCGAGTGAATTTTTTAATTCTAAAATAAAAAAAAAATGCCTGCTTTATATATATATATATTAGATTAGATTAGTGAAAATAAGTTTTAATATGATCGTAATTAACATTCAATCCAAAAAGTTTATCCTAAACTTTTATCAACCATCTAGGCATTGCCCGGGCTAAAAAGTAGTATATATAAAGGGGAGTATTTTCCCGAGTTTTTAAAGAGCCACGTAGGATGTAATTTTCTTAGCACGCCATATAAGATTATAAATTTTAGTTGTAGCCAATTAAATAAAAGATTATTAATTTCTTTTAGAATTAAATAAATCAACTGCCACGTAAGCAAAATTGGCAAATGAGATTTTTAATTTAAATTAATTAAGTATAAAATATTATCTTTTGATATTAGGAATTTTATCAAAAAATATATAAAACGAATGAGAGGTAATTCACAATTTATTTTAAAATAAAAATATTAAATGATATATAACGCACAACAAATAAAATAATAAATTTTATCATATAAATGCAAAAAATATTTGTTTTAAAAATAAAAATAAACTGTGCATCTCACAGGCTTCATTTAGTGATATACTATGTAGAACTAATGAAATAACAAATTTTATCACATAAATACAAATAATATTTGTTTTAAAAAATAAAAACAAACCGTGCATCGCACGAGCTTCATCTAGTAAATATATAATAATACTAGTATGTACCCCGGGCGATGCCCCGGGTTCCCTCTGCAATATACTTGTATATTCTTATGTTTAAAAAAACCTTAATTGGCTAAATCTATCCGCGTTTGGAATATTTGTTGTTTTAAATGTTTATAATCGGATGAGTAATTTAATTTTACGGTTTCATTGACATTTAACAGTTTGAGTACTATTAGACTTTATTCAAAACTCTCAGTTCAAAAGTAAGTCTTCGACTCCTAGAGTTTTAAGATTGTTTTTTGAAAGACGATTGTCTGTTTGGAATTTTAATTCTATTGGCAATGCCCGGTTTGTTTATTGAATTTTAAAATAAAATTTTTATCTATATGCCAAATTTTAAAATATCATTATACAAATATTGTTATGTAAGAGGTGTATATCCCTTTTACTTTACGATATTTTGATGTAGGATACTATTGATTTTTGTAAAAGCGCAATATATATTATTAAAATATACATAAAAAAAATATTTATGTTTTTCAAGATTTCTATTAATAATCACTTGACAATCATACTTGTAAAATAAAAAATATAGTACTACCGCTAATAAAGTTGTGGGTTATAATTTATATAGTATACATAAATGAATCTATTTTGAAGGACTTTATCACGAATATTATGATATAAAAATAATAAATTATTAAAATAATACTATTGAAAGTTATAATTTATTTTTTTAATAGGGTTATAATTTAATTTGTACATATTAAATATTGGTATATTATCTAAAATAAAACTCTAAACGGCGATATTATGCTAAAAATCTATCCAAATTTTATTGAAAATGAAACTCTAAACTAACTGTTTTTATCTTATACATCTTTATCCTATGTGTCAAACTAATAATTAATTGTTGCCTACTTGGCAAAAAAATGGAATCCAAGTGTCACTATCTTGTAACCTCGCTAAATTTTTAGCTTTATATATTAGTTATATATATAATACCGTAGGATAACAGTAAATATCATCTGTGGACTGTGGGAGATGAATATATGATCAATTTTTGCAAGCTGTTTCCCATTAAACAGTCAACTCCTAATCATTTTTATTAGTTGTTTTTGGCTTAAAATGGATAAAATCTTAAAAAATAATAATAAAAAAGATTCTATGGATCTAGTCTATTTGTTTGGTTAAAGATAGAATCATAGAACCTTTTTTATTATTTATTTTATTTTTTTAAGATTTTATCCATTTTTAGAACGTTATAACTACGTGATCCTCCTTGTGA